AGGGTTCTTGAAATGATTAGTGAGAACAAGGCCAGATGACAGTAAGGCATAGAGGTAAATAAGTACCCAGTTAATGAGCCATCTTCCCGGTGGCCAGTTTCCATGGCAAGCAGCACACAGCCCCAACGACAGTCTCTAGATGAGCCCAAACAGCACCAGAACACTTGACAACAAAACACAACTGTAATACTAAGGCTCACTTTAGGTTCAGGGGTCACGTTATCACCGTTGTGAATCAGGTGGTAAACAAGACCATCAGCTGGGTTCACTATCCACCTTCAAGGCCTTCAGGATATCCCTGGGCAACCCAGTCCCTTGTCAAGCAAAGCTTCTGGTCCCTACACCCTGACATGGCCCCTTCAGTCCATTGAGCCCCCTGTGAGTGCAGGCAGGGCAACATGAGTGTCCAAGACCGATGGACACTCTTCACCTAATAATGAGTCACCCGTGACCTGGTGAGGCCTAGCACCTTCCCCAGGGCTCCAGCTCTGGGCAGCCAACGCTCCAGACGGCCTGGACAGCCCATGGAGCTGCAAGTATCCACCAGGGAGAGACCACGATGGTCAAGGAATGGCAGGGCCAGGCATTAGTCAGCCCCACTCAGGGCAGCCCTGGACAGGAGGGAGGAGCCTGTGCACACCCTCTGGGTTAGCAAATCCAGACACACAACAGATGGAAAGCAGGGAGCAGCATTCACTTGGAAGGACGCAGTAAAGCGCATTCTCTGCCCTGTGATGACACCCTTCCAAAGGCAGCACGCGGGAGGAGCTCCACAGCGTTTTCTAGCCGCTCCCCAACTCATCCCATGGGGAAACCCCAAGAGAACTGGGAGCCTCAGAGGCAGCTCCTGCTGTGACCTCAAGTCCAGAAGCTGCCTGAAGTCCTGTTTTCTTTCTTTTAATCTTTAAATGTTTTATTTATGCATTTTTGACAATTGAATCAAGGAGATTGCCATGTACATCATTTTCAATATAGAATTTTACAGCCTGGGATCTGTTTTCTTCTTTTTGCCCCTCCCACCCAGCTCTACCATCCCCTCCCCTCCCTTCCCTCGCAGACTCCGGTATCCACACCTGTCCTTCCTAGCATCATAAGTTCCAATCTTTCCACTGAAGTCCTGATTTCCCACACTCCCTGTAACAGTTCACAAAAGGGGAGGGACCAGACCTGCCCGTGCCAGCAACTTGCCTGTGACAGGGTTACTCTCACTGTCCTAAAGGACAGAAGTACAACTGTCACTCCGGTTGGGAGTTGGAAGGGACTGCCACCCCCTAGAATGAAAAGACACAGGAAAAGGGTGTGGGTTAATGAGACTGAACTTGCCCATTTCCTACTCAAATTAAAGGCTGGGACGCCCTGCCAAGAGAGAGGAAGGAGCATTGCAGAACCCTGTGCTAACTGGCGTGGGGGTCCGGGTAACAACCACTGCGCTGCAACTGCGCGGGGCCATTCTCCGTCCAGCGTTTGCAGCTGACCACGGGGGAAGGGGCCGGCTCCGGAGCCGAAGGGGGTCGCTATGGACAATTGTCCAGGGGGCACTTGGAGATAAGCTTGGCTCTGTTCCGAGGTGGTTGGAATTTACGGACGAGGGGAGCTTGTCTTAACCTAAGAAAGGAGGGGAGAGCAGTGAAGAGGCGGGGCAGAGAGGAGAGAGCAGGGGGCGGTGAGCTAGAGGGACAGAGAAGGTGGGAGACAGAGAGGGACGGAGGGAGGGAGAGAAGCAGGGAAGGCGGCGGGAGGCGGGAGGCGGGCAGCCGGGGAGGAGCGGAGGAGCGCGCG